CCGCGGGGGCCTCAAAAGAAAACACCATCCTGACGCCGCCCAAGCTTTTTTTTGGGGGGGGGGGGGGGGCGAGGAAAACTCAGGTTCGCATCATCGGCAGGGCAAGCCAAACATCGTCTTGGGGCGTGAGGCCTCTGGGGAAGCAGCGATGTGGGATCGCAGGGCCGGGGCAGTGCAGGTCTGGAAAGGTCTCGGGTCGCAGGAAATGAGAGGGTGTCGTGAAGCGCCGGGCCTTTGTCGTCGCCACCACTGCTCATTCCCCAGCAGGCAGACCTCATTGCGAGGCCACAGTGAGACGAGGTCCTTTTCGTAGCAAGCGCTTGAGTGGTTGAAAGAGGCACTGAGTGGACGGCGTATGGAGTCACCAGGGGCAGGGCTGGCGTTTCGGTTGTTCAAAGGAGGTTGTTCTTGGTTGCTCATGTTGAGGTCTGTAGCCGCGCAGTCGAAACGCGCGCGCTTGATTCGCTCAGGGCGCCCCGAATTAGATGCGCCCCGCTTTTACCGGTGCCGTCGGGGCTGGGCGCTGAGGGCGCTCTTGCCGGGCGCTGTGGACGCTCTTGCCTGGGGCCGGCATTGTGGGGCGCGAGCCGATGATGTTCCGTCGAAGGATGCCTGATGAAGCAGCCATGGCTATTGGGCTTTGGCACCTGGCCTGTCTTGCCGGACCAAACTGGCCTGCCAGGAAAAGACGGAAAGACCCGACACAGAACGACAAGCCTCGGCTAAAGCCACACCGCTCATCGCCCCAGCCACATACGAGTCTCGACAGCACGCAATTGGAGGCCCGAACAGGAGACCAAAGCCTGTGCCAAGTTTTCTCCCCCCAAAGAAGAGTCACAAGATCATGCCTAGAGTTCACCGCAACAACGCATACACAATAGGCCGCAAGGTTATCACTTTCACTCAGGCCCTTCACTCGGCGCACGCCCTCCCTTTGAACAGAAACAAACTCCAGCCCACCCCGAATTCAACCGCCTCCAAATAACAGAGGGAGCGAGCGAGAGAGAGAAAAAGGCTCTGGGCCCTGAGCCACTCAATCCACTAGCACCCCAGGAGCAAATCACGTCGCCGAACCGGCCTCGAACAAGGGCATTGTTCGACAGGGTCCTCGAGCCACTGTGCAACATACGCAACGACATTCGCTGGCCACACAACCAGCCTAAGGGCCCTTAGCCTCCACCAGTCTGGGCTGCTACGTCGATCACCCTGGGACCTGGATTCACGTGGACCTTGGTCTTGCTTGCTCACGGCTCTGAAGCCTCATCTTGTCAAGGGAGAGGGGGGGGGGTGAATCCACGATTGATTGCCTCATTCCCGTTCTTTTTCCTTGCCCCTTGCCGGACATGAGGCAATTATCACAAAGCTCGTGTGAGTCTTTGTGTCGTCCTCAAGAAACCAGGGGGGCTGGCTGGCTGGCTGGCTGGGCGGCCCCTCGGGCGGTGAGGCGAGAGGACAAATGACCTCGTCAGGAATCGAAGTGGGAGTCACGAAATGCGTTGGCGACCTCTGCGGAGGCGAATCTTGGGCTGATTGATACGCGGTCAAGGCATTCTTCCCCGTGCCAGCCTGCGCGTGAACGAGCCCTGGTGTTCCCTGGTCTGGCGAGCGCCGCCGGCCAGGGGTGTCTCATTCGCTCAGTGACGGCCCGGGCCCGAGGACCCCACGGCGGGCCGCACGTAGTTCGGAGGCGAAGGGGGGCGGGGGGGCCTCCCAGTCGCCACGCCGGACAGAGCTCCGCGTCGTGTGGAATGGCGCTGTCTTGTGACTTCGGATGCATCGCGCAGGTGACTCAAATCGAAGTGCTGCTGTGCTGGCACTTGAGCGGGCCCTCGCTCGATGACTGGTCGACAGACCGGCTGGCGTGCAGTGTGGGCTGCTCCGGCTTGCAGTGACGGGAGAGCACTGCCTAACACAGAATACAGGGCACCACAGCGATCCAGCGATGTGGTACACAGTGCACTACAGCGTAGTTATTGAATGGTCCAGTCAGCAGCCTGAAAGAGCGCAAGGCCCAATGGCCAAACTCACGTGATATCCTCAAGTCTACTGCAACACACACACACACACACACACCATGCTCACGACAGCAAGGAAAGACGTGTGAATTTAACTCGTTTGGGTATTCCTATCTGCTTCTAAAAAGCGCCAGCCCCAAAGAACCCACCGGGGATCTCTACGCATCAAGCTCTGCCGGCAAGAATTCATCCCATCCAGTGGTTCCCGTCATCCAATCCTCATCGCATTCTCATCCCCAACGCCCACACTCACAAGGAAAAATAACCCAATGCTGCCGCCTCTCTCTTTGCCAGGGATAAATCAGGAAAAAAGGTATCCAGCGCCCGTGTCCATGCAATGGTATCCAGCGAACGTAGTAAACCCCCCTTGCAAAGCGGAAGCAGTAGAGAAGAGAAGCAGTTGACCAGCTTCGAGCTTCCATGGTTCATGCCGCATATTTCGTCCCGTTCATCCGTCCCGTCCATCGCAACGGCAGCCAAGCCCAGCTGCCCCGTGCGTCCCTTCAAGGGGTGTCGATGCCCTTCAAGGGATATGTGTTTGTGTTTGTGAAGAAGTAGGTGTCAAGTAGGTGTGTGTTGTGAGTGTTTAAATGATTCTTTGTATCTCTAGTCGTTTCTCTTGCCTTGCGGCAATCCCTCAATATAAAAAAAGTGAAACCAGTTGGTTTGCCAATTTTGAATTCGGTGGACCCTGTCTAGCCATTGGATGGAAGGTTAAGTATCGTAATAACCTCCTCAGCTAGCGTTAGTATAAGA